TCACCCTCACCCTCACCCTCACCCTCACCCTCACCCTCACCCTCACCCTCACCCTCACCCTCACCCTCACCCTCACCCTCACCCTCACCCTCACCCTCACCCTCACCCTCACCCTCACCCTCACCCTCACCCTCACCCTCACCCTCACCCTCACCCTCACCCTGTCCATTTCCGTCAGGTCTTCGGTCGTTGGTGGTAACGACCAACGGTGGCGTCAGCGGCGTCAGCGTATTTAGCGCCAGTGGGGGGCCTGTAGCTGGTGGTGGTGGTGGTGGTGGTGGTGGTGGTGGTGGTGGAGGGCCGTCTCTGGCCGCTGCCGCGGCGGACATGTTACAGCCGCACTCCCTGCCTGCCGCCGTCATCACGGTATTCGCTCGCAAGCTGGCGGCTAGACAGCGGCGCGGGGGCCCCACCGGGGGGGATGTGGTCGAGATCAACACGGGTACGTGCCGGAAGTGCGCATGTGCGCGTTTGTCCGTACGTATGTCGCTATGTCTGTCTGCCTGTCCGACTTAGGATGCCCTAGGTCACCTTTCCCTATTCGGGCCGTTTGTTAACCGGCACTTGACTTCGCTGCCGCCACTTCATCATCGCCCTAAAAGATATAATTACCCTCTCCCCCTTCCCCCCCTTCCTCCCCCTTCCTCCCCTGGCCCATAGACGACCTGCTCCGCTGGCTGGCCGACCTGGTCAATCAGCTGACCTCCTCAGCTCGTGCGGGTATGGCTGCTGCCGCCGCCGCCAGTGCGCGGGAGCGCTCCGCCCTTCACGGGTTCGTGGAGGACCTGGAGGCCGCGGTGGAGGGGCTGGCGGCGGACCACGACAACTTCATGCGGCAGCACGAAATCAAGGTGGAGACCCAGGTGAGAGGCGGAGGAGGGGGGGAGGGGGGGAGGGGGATGTGTGTGTGTATGGTAGGGGGGGAAAGAGGAGTTGTGGGTGGAGGATATGGATGTGTATGGATGGTAGGGGGGGAGGGACTAGGGGTCGAGGATAGGGTCGAGGGTTTCGTTGCTGCCCGGTCGCCGCTGCCTTCCCTGGCAGCGGCTTAACGTC